TCCGCAGTCAATCAACTAGAGAGAGAGACCAGTGAGAGAACAGCGAGAGACCCGAGAGAGACCAGAGAGAGACCAGAGAAAGACCAGAGATAGACCTGAGAGAGTCCAGTGAGAGACCATAGAGAGAGGCGAGAGACCAGATAGAGACCAGAGAGAGATCAGTGAGAGACCAAAGGCAGACCAAAGAGAGAGACACCAGAGAAAGACCAGAGAGAGAGGCCAGAAAGGCCAGATAGAGACCAGCGAGAGAGTAGAGAGAGAGGCTGGAAAGGCCGTAAAGAGACCACAGAAAGATCAGATAGAGAGACCAGAGTGAGACCAGAGAGAGACCAGAAAAAGACCAGAGGGAGAAACCAGAGAAGAGACCAGAGAGGGACCAGAGAGAGACCAGAAAAAGACCAGAGGGAGAGACCAGAGAAGAGACCAGAGAGAAACCAGAGAGGAACCAGATAGAGAAACTGCGCTTTTCTGAATCTTGGTCATTGCCCCCTCAGAAAACTCAGCGAGACTTTATAGAGTCTGTTCCGTTACCATTATCATCTTCTGTATGTCTTAAGTATATGGGCAAGTCCAACTGTTAGGTTTGTTGGAGGGGGAGGCAGACTTTGAGGTGCTTAAAGGTCTCTCGCTGCTGTGAGTGAGGTGCTTACCAGTGTTGGGGTCCACAGAGAAGTAGGGGTGTCCCTGGCTGATGCTGTAGACCAGTTTGGCGCTGTTCCCGTACATGCTGTCGTCTGCGTCTGTTGCTGTGACCTGGATCACCGACGTCCCTGAGGAACCCAGAGGGAGTTAGAGGCAGGAGGAGAGAGGAGGTGAGGGGGGGGGGCTGTACAGGGCCCCCCAGGCCAGGCAGGGCCCAGGTGTGACCTCCACACAGTGTCTGCTCGGTCACACAGTCTCTGGTGGTTCAAGGCCTGGACCATGAGGCTGTAAAAGGTCTTCCCTGAAGCAGACTCCAGAGAGGCAGCGACTGGACTGGCCAGCAGGGGCCCAGAGGAGGAGCCCAGGTCCGGGCTGAGGATGAGGCTGGGGAAGGGGTCAGTGGGGTCAGGGGTCAGTGAGCCCTGACCCCACTGGAGGGACACAGAGTTTCTGTGTCCCTCCAACAGGGTCCAGTCCTCCTCAGTCAGACCCTCTCTCCAGAAACACAGGAGACGCTCCAGGGTCCGAGCCGGCCTCAGCCCCAGCTGAGGACCACTGACACTGTGGAGCTGCTGCACAGAGACTACTCCCCCCGCACTGAAATGGCCCCGCAGCACAGGCCCCGCCCAGGCAGGAAACTCCAGGGGCCGCTGTAGGAGCCAGTGCAGAGAGGAGCTCTGCCTCTGCCTCTTCACTCTGCTCCACACCGAGAACAGCCCACAGTAGAAGGACGGGAGTCCAGCTGGTGTGTGTTCACTGAGGAACCCTGGGAGCCCCAGTCCCCCCGCCCTCTGCAAGATGGAGACTGCCAAAGGTCTCCACAGCAGCTCCTCTGACCCAGCTAACAGTCTCTGTAGAAACTGCAGCCTAAAGGCAGCTCCTTGGCTGGCCAGATGGACCAGACCTTGGCCTCCCTGCTCCTTCGGCAGAAACAACACTGCCTGCTGGACCCAGTGCAGCCTGTCCCAGAAGAAAACTGAGATCAGTCTCTGGATCTGTGAGAGTAAAGAGGGAGGTGGGTCTGTGCTCTGCAGCTTGTGCCACAGAGCGGAGGACACCAGGTTGTTGGCAACGAGGACCCTCCCTCTGTACGAGATTTTAGGCAACAGCCACCTCCATTTACTCAACCGCCCTTTAACTTGCTCCAGAGACTGATCCCAGTTCCCCCGGACATGACCAGGGCCAACGAACACCCCCAGGTGTTTAAAACCCCCTGTCCTCCACACCAGTCCCCCAGGCAGGCTGAGACCCCACAGGCCCTCCCCGAGTAGAGTGGCCGAGCTCTTGCTCCAGTTCACCCGGGAGCTGGAGACCTGACCAAAGACCTGCATCGTGTCAGCTAGGACCTCCACATCCCTCTGGCTGTTAACGAACACCATGATGTCATCTGCGTACGCAGAGACTTTCAAAGGTGCTGTTCCAGGCAGCAGCACCCCCTGCAGGTCAGCTTTGAGCCGATGCAGAAGGGGCTCGATGGAGAGGGAGTAGAGCATCCCAGACAGAGGAGTGAGGAGAGAGAGGGAGTCGGAGGGAGGAGAGAGGAGGATGAGAGAGGAAAAACAGGGAGCAGGGAGGAGGACAAGAGAGTAGACAGAGAGGAGAGAGAGGGAGAAGAGAAAGGTAGCAGGCATGAGGAGAGAGAGAAGACAGGGAGAGGGAGGAGAGTTAGAGTGGGAGGAGGAAAGAGGAGAGAGAGGAGGGGGGGGGGGGGGGGGGGGGGAACTTCCGTTGGGGGAAACAGGGAGCAGGGAGGAGGCCAGTAGAGTAGACAGAGAGGAGAGAGATGTGGCAAGCATGAGGAGAGAGAGAGGACAGAGAGAGGGAGGAGACAGAGGAGAGGGGAGAGAGAGGAGGAAAGAGGAGAAATGAAGGGGAGGAGACAGGAAAAACAGGGAGCAGGGAGGAGGACAGGAGAGTAGAGAGAGAGGAAGAAGGAGAGGGAGGAGTGAAGAGGAGGAGAGAGAGGGAGTCGGGATGAAGAGAGAAGAGGAGGGTGAGAGAGGAGATGAGAGAAGAGAGGAGAGAGACAGAAGTGAGGAGAGAGAGGGAGTAGGGAGAAGGAACGAGGAGAGAGAGGAGGTGGATGGAGTGGGGAGGAGGACAGGAAAGGAGAGAGGAGGTGGCGGGAGTGGGGAGGAGGACAGGAAAGGAGAGAGGAGGTGGAGGGAGTGGGGAGGAGGACAGGAAAGGAGAGAGGAGGTGGCGGGAGTGGGGAGGAGGACAGGAAAGGAGAGAGGAGGTGGAGGGAGTGGGGAGGAGGACAGGAAAGGAGAGAGGAGGTGGAGGGAGTGGGGAGGAGGACAGGAAAGGAGAGAGGAGGAGGCGTCTTACCGATATCAGCGCGCTCCGGGACGCTCCCTGTGTACACCTCCTGGCTGAAGGTGGGCTCGTTGTCGTTGATGTCGTGGAGCTTGATCACGAACTCGGTCTCGGGCTCCAGCTTGAGGCCCGTGCGCTTGTTGACCACGGTGGCGCGCAGCACGTAGAAGCTCTTCTCCTCGCGGTCCAGGCGCCGCGTGGCGTGGAGGTCTCCGTTCTCCTCGTCCAGGACAAAGATGGAGCCCGCGCCCTCCCCGGACAGGATGTACTTCACTGCACTGTCCCCCCTGTCCTGGTCCGACTGCAGCTGTTTGAACACAAGGTTCTAGTGAGACATGAGAGAGAGCAGAGAGAGAGAGCAGAGAGAGAGAGAGAAGAGGGAGAGAAGAGAGAGAGAGAAGAGAGGGAGACCAGAGAGAGAGACCAGAGAGAGAGATCAAGGAGAGATCAGAAAGAGAGACCAGTGAAAGATTGGAGAGACAGACCAGAAAGAGAGACAAGAGAGAGATCAGAGAGAGACCAGAGAGAGAGAATATAGAGATAGAGACCAGAGAGGGAGACAGAGACCGGAGAAAATAAAGATGCCATGTTTTACTCGTGGTTTTATGGTGTTGTTGGAATGTACGCACAGTGCACACACAATAAAACCCAGGGAACAGCAGGAGCTGCTGCGAGAGGTGAAGTGAGAGTCCTAACTTACTAACAGCTGTTCTCTGACCTCTGGTCTCTCTCTGGTCCCTCCCTTGTCTCTCTTTATGACCAGTACTTGACCATGACAGTAAAAAACAAAAGCATTCATTTATCTTTCCTAAAGGCACAAACACACAGGATCTGCCCGTGTATCGGTTGGCCACCAGGGGTCAGTGTTGACCCATAGATCCAGGCAGGGCTGGACTGGGACAAAAAAACGGCCCGGGCATTTTTTCCTTCCTAGCGGCCCAGGCAACTCAAAAGGTTCAAGGAACCATATTTGACAAAAAAACCACATCTGTCTGGAGCCGCAAAAAAAACCAAAAAAAAAACACCGTTTTATAAGGCTTATATGAAGGTAACAGGGGCTGAAGCTGTATTAGCTACATTAACTACATTAGCTACCTTAGCTACATTAGCTATATTAGCTATATTAGCCTAATATCTAAATGACAAAGTAAAGGCTAAACACATAAAAACCATTCATGATTATCAAATGTGTATTTTCATTGCAGCGTGTCCTGGAGAGAATGACGCACCACGTGACAACTCTGCTTTAAGTTTAACTTTTTTTGCCTTCATGCAATTGTGCAAATACAGTAAATAAATCTGCTTTTTGGCTCCGAGTTCACCTGCATCACTGTCTGTTCATATCCATCACAGGCTGAAGTTTGCTGGAGCTGAATGTCCTTAATAGCCTTTTCTTTCACCGTCTTTGCGAAGGTATTTGAAGTCTGAAAATAGGTGCTCTGACTTTATGATGAATGAATCTTTCAGTGAACGGTGTTTAAAGCTTCATTGTTCCTCCTGTTGCAACAAAGCTTTTCATTAAATCGCAAACATGAAGCAGTCCTTCCTCATTGACTGAAAGCAAATGTTCATTCTCATTCTTAGTCCAGTCTTATCGACTCTCTTTATCTTTGGGATCCATGCGCACACACAGTCTATAATCCACACACGCCGGTTTGTTTACAGCAGCGGCCGCCTGGCACGGGGCCGCATCACAGGATATGACGCACTACGTTGACAGAAATGCTTAAATTGAATATTACTTATACAAGTTTTTGCAGCATTGAAAAACGTTAAGAATGTTTTTCCTCCTACAGAAACCACATTGAAACTAGAAATAAAATATAGCCCTCACACTCCATTTTCAGACGTTTTTGAAAAGTCTCCAGGAGCCACTTTAGGAGCACTAAGGTTGCCGACCCCTGGTTTATACAGTATGTGGAAGCAAATACTGTAGAGGATCAGGATGTCTGCAGTTTCAACAATAAAATAAAGTACAATAGTCTACATTAAACAGAGTAATAAACATGTCTCAGAGTGAGGGAGGTGGGCACAGACAACACTGTTGTTTGTTACAGGGATGAGAATTGGTAAAAATTTCTGATATGCATAATGTCAGCCATTAGCTGGCTCTAAATCTGTTTAATCTGTTCACAACATTTTACTTTTGGGCTCAAACATGAACTTTTAATGCAATAGAAAATGTAGGTACCCGAGCTTAATTTAGAGGAGAGGGGAGACGCGGACTGTTTTCTGCAGCGGTGTATTTATTGGGTGCAAAATTACGAAATCTCTCCTCCTCCTGGCTTCTCTATGGTCTCTCTCTCTCTAGTCTCTATACTTTTTCTTTTGGTCTCTGGTTTGTCTCGGGTCTCTCTCTATTTTCTTCCTTGTCTCTCACTGGTCTCTTGCTGGTCTCACACTGGTCTTTCTCTGGTCTCAGTGGTCTCTCACTGGTCTCCCTTTTGTCTCTTTCTGGTCTCTCTCTCTCTCTTATGAGACTGGGGAGCAACTGGTCTTTATCAAAGGATACAAAGGAGAGAAGAAAGACAAGGAAGGATGCGGCTGTACATATCTTTTATGACTTAGGATACAGCCACAGACACAGACTTTATTGATCTCGAAGACGAAGGCTGCACATTTATACCAGAGTGACACAGGGAATGAAAAATGAGAAAACAAGCTACATTTTCATGGCACGTAGTTGTAAGAAACATGGACTGACACGGAAATGCACTGTGAAATCTTGGCCTCTCTCAGGTCTCTCCCTTGTCTCGCTCTAGGCTTTCTCTCAGGTATCTCTCTAGCCTCTCTGGTCTCTCTCTGGTCTCTATCTGGACTCTCTCTCTGGTCTCTCTCTGATTTCTCTTTCTGGTCTCTCTCTCAGATCTCTCTCTGGTCTCGCTCTTGTCTTTCTCTCAGGTATCTCTCTAGCCTCTCTCTGGTCTCTGTCCAGTCACTTCCTGGTCTCTCTGGTCTCTCTCTGGTCTTATCTAAAGTAGTGACAGAGGGAATAAATACATGCACATTAAATCTAGTGATGGAAGCAAACTGTTTCAGAGCCAGTAAATGTTATTTTTTGCTTTGCTTTTTTGTGGTCTCTTTTGTGGTTTCAAAGTTAGGTACTTCAGCTTTAAGGCATCAAAACACACACACACACACACACACACACACACACACACATACACGTTTTTGTTACCTGGTGGGTCCCTTTGACAGGGCCGTTCAGAATGGGACCCATAGACATAATCTTTTTTTACTGGGACTACTTTAAGTAATACAAAACAGTCAATAGAAACCAAACAACTATTTTAAAGGAATTTTATTTTAGATTTTGTTTTCGAATTGCAGTGATTCTATTTTTGACATAGAATTTAATGCCACTCCATGTCCGATGTCTAAGGTCATCTGGTGAGGCATTAATGCAGGCCAGGCAGTGAGACTTCCCAGGGACCTTTCCAGTCTGTATGAAAGGTGTCATGGTCTTCTCCACAGCCTTCACCTCAGATGCAGACCATGGCTTTCTTACACGTTCTAGGGAGAGAAATAAAAATATATTAGCAATATACACTCCCAGGGTTAGGACCAAGCAGCCTGGCTGTAATCCCCCACCTGGTACACTTACCAGAAGGGGCACTGCCACTACCATGGGGTGCATCTGGATGAATGGTTGAAGGTTCTCCGCTTGAAGTTTCTTTTAGCCCGTCCGTTTGTGAGAGGATCTCTACTGCTCTCCCTGTCGCACAGAAAATAAAAATACAAGTGGCCTTTAGGGGAAAAAAATCATACATATTTTAATAATATCAAGAATTACCTTCAGGCTCAATTTGTATCTGGTCGAGGCTCTTTCCTTCGAATTCCGTCACTCTTCCCTGCTCCATGGCCATCAACACTTTGCTGATTTTGGCCAGCTCCAGTGTCCCCTCTGGTAGTCTGTAATATTGCCTGTGGATGCGAATGTCATGGCCGAGGAAGTTGGCAAGTATGTCCATCTCATTCTCTTTCATATTGAGAACTGTAGACATAGTAGCTATGTGCTTTCTAAGTTTGGTTGAGGATAGCATCTCTGGATGCACCGCACCACATTCTTTGGCTACCTGGCGTAGGGAGTCTGATCCCCTGATGTGGGTGTCTGCGCCCGGGCGGGAAAAGAAGTATGGGTTATGGTCAGAGATGGAACAGGCCCTTCTGTTCTCCACCAGCACCTCCATCGAAGCAATCATTTCAGGAGTCAAAAGAACCGGCACTTTCCGACTTCTTTTCCCTTTAATTTCAATGCGTTGAAAATGCTGACACAGCTTTTTCTCAAGTTGGGACAGTCCCAGAGCAATGTCAGAATGGATCCCAGTCTTACTTCTTAAGGTAAAGGCTGTCAGTGGCATCTTTGAAACCTCACCTTCCCTTCTTCGATTGAAAATGATGACCTCACAAAGAGTCAAAACTGCCAGTTTAGACCAATGCTTAGACGTTGGCTCACTTATTAGGGTTTGCACATATTCAGGTCGACATACCTCAATATGTGCATGCATGGCTCTAACGTCCTCAGTCAGAGGGAGCAGGTCCGGAGTGTTCCACTTGGCTTGCCGGAGGGTCTGTAGGGCAGCAGAAGAAACACAGACGTCCCACCTCTTCTCAAAAAGCAGCCGGCTTCGTTGGAGGTTTTTAATAAATAGTTCATCAACACAATGCTCCATTTTTGAGTCACATTCAAGAATATCTGCTAGCTTTCTGAGGCTATGGCCGAGTTTGAGGGCCAAGGATGGAGTCTTGTATTGATTTGTTTCCTCATCATATCCAGCCACAGACCTGACTGCATCAATCACATGGTTAAAGTTGGAAGGAATAAAGAAATCCTTAATTGTTTTCAGTTTCCCTGCGGTTTTTGCTTCGTTAATTAACCTACCGACTTCTCTCATTTTCTGCCTAATGTAATCATGCTTAGTCTTATCATGCCCGTGTTTTAAGTACAGGTGCTCTCCGAGTCTCAGAATCCCCTTTTCTGCTTTGACAACACCCGTGATCTCATCCTGATGCATTGCCGAAATTAAAGACCACAGCTTTTTGCTGATGCCCTCCGGTACAGGCTGGGCTAGGGAGCAGAGGGACTGGACCCTACTTCTACCTGGTTTAGCCTGGGCATCTTTCTGTGAAAGCCGGCACCTGGCCACATGCCTCCACAGCGACTTTCGCTTAAGCAATGCCCCACAGTCTATACAGTGCAAAAACTCACTGGATTTAACTGGGGAATTTGGCTGTTTAGCTGGGACTAAAGTTCCAATGCCGGCCTTTAAAACCTCAAAATTGTGCTCACGGTTTCCACTATTCCTGATCAAATCAAACTGAAGTTTACGTGCTTTAGATTTCACAGGTAGAGCCAATGCTCTGGCTACGTCACTTTCATTTCCATGTTTTCTAGTCAAATGACGGGACATTTTGTGGCAGGACATTGAACAGTAGAGGCAGAAGTGTCTCTTGCTGTAAACTCGCCCCCCATTTTTCTTCTTTTGCAGCTGCATGATAACAATCTTATTTGCCTTTGGTTCGTCACTTTCCGAGTCATGAAGAAAAGTGTTTTTGATTTTTCTTTTTCCATACTTTTTTACAGGTTTCTTCTTGACAGTTAAATCGTCAGAATCTGAGTCGACTTCATCAATTAGGGACTCTTGACTAAGCTGCACAAACAACAAATAATTTGTAATCATTCTATATAACAATTTGAAGTCATGACTTGTAGTCAGCACTTACCAGTGGTTTGTAAGCGTGCGCTTCAGTGTGCTCCTCCATGATTTCTTGCAGCCTAATGAACCACACACTTGCACCTTTTTCTAGCCTGACACCTGATTTCCTCTGTTGTGCTGCTCCATGATTGGCTCCAGCCTGCTGGACTGAAATTGCCCCAGTGTGCCCCTCCTTGATATCCCGCAACCCACCACCAGGGTTCCGACACATAACACACTTTTTTCAGGAAAGTAAACCTCCAGGGGTCCTTTCCATATTTTTACAGAGACTGCATAAGGACCGTTAGAAAAGCATTACCCATTGATTATTAAGCTTGGACCAGTGGGGTCCGGTGTTCGGGCCCCACCACGTAAAACCAGTCCCCATGACGTGAGTAGAATCTCAGGTTATGGAACCCACCAGGAGTTGAAAACAAGTGCACGCACACGCACACACACACACACACACACTCCCTCCGGTGCTTTCTGCCGCTCCCTGATAACTCTCTTCTTTTCAACACATTACCAAAGTTTCAGCCTCCTCCGAAAAGCACACAGCTTTTATATTTGGAGGTTCACCAACAGTATGTGAGCGAGCGCTTCTCAATCTGTGGTGTAGGTGTCGACGGGGGGAACATGGAGACTTGGGAACCAAAGACTCAGGGGTTTTCAGATAAAAACGTTTCAATCTTCTGACTTAAAAAAACGATACAAGAGAGATACCAGAGGGAAATCAGAGAGAGACCAGAGAGAGACCAAAGAGGGACCAGAAAGAGACCAGGAAGAGACACCAGAGACCTCATTACCCCTTCTCCTTATCCCAGGCACATCCAGCTGCACTTTGACTAAATGTACATTGCTGGAAATCTCTGTTAACCTTCTTCCCATCGGTGCGTTATAAAATATTAAGAGGAGCACGTCAAGTCTAACTTTGCTACGATTTTCGACCGACAAATCATTTATGAGCCCCACGCGGTAGCTGTCCACCCGCGGCTTTCTCACTCTCAAGATTTAGCTCCAAACTTTTCCTTCCGCAATTTTTGTCCTGGTTTCTGATGACGGAGGAAATGCAACTGGAAAATGCTAATTATTTCACAGGATACTGGGATTGGGTGAACTACAAGAACACCCAGGATTTTATCTCTCTCTGGTATCTAGTCTTTCTCTCTCTGGTATCTAGTCTCCCTCTCTCTGGTATCTAGTCTCCCTCTGTGATCTCTCTCTCTCTGGTTACTGGTCTTTCTCTCTGGTATCTAGTCTTTCTCTCTCTGGTATCTAGTCTCTCTCTCTCTGGTATCTAGTCTCCCTCTGTGATCTCTCTCTCTCTCTGGTTACTGGTCTTTCTCTCTGGTATCTGGTCTCTCTCTCTGGTATCTGGTCTCTCTCTCTCTCTGGTATCTGGTCTCTCTCTCTCTGGTATCTAGTCTCTCTCTCTCTGGTATCTGGTCTCTCTCTCTCTGGTATCTAGTCTCTCTCTCTCTGGTATCTAGTCTCCCTCTGTGATCTCTCTCTCTCTGGTATCTGGTCTCTCTCTCTCTGGTATCTCTGGTATATCTCTCTTTTGCCTCCTCTGCCACAGCTCATCTCCACACACACACACACACACACACACACACACACACACACACACACACACACACACACACACACACACACACACACACACACACACACACGCACACACACATCGTGAGCCCCATTCTCAGCCTTCACGGAGCAGTACTTTTGTAACCGTTCAGTCTCTCTGATGAGCACTTCACTTCTAAGGAGAAAGTCATAACCATAACGACTGCCGCGTTCGGACACAAAGGACAGGGGAAGGCGTGGGAGCGTTTTCAAATGATCCTGGACATAAAGTACTGGGACTTGGGAAGAACTCTGCTCCAGTAGGTAATGGTTTTGTTGATGCTCTTGGTCAGGTTAGCTAGAGGATTATATTTATAGACCCATTTCCACCAGCCCGACTCGGCTCTACTCAGCTCTACTCTGCTCATTTAGAACACTTCAGCTCGGCAGCGTCAATAGCGTCAATAGAAACGCTCCCTATGGTGTCTGTTTTGAGCGATGAGGGAAACCGTAGCGCCTGCGGGAAACCCATGCAGACACAGGGAGAAACATGCATCCTCCACACAGAAAAGCCATGACCTTCTTGTTCTGAGTTCTGCCCGCTCCACTACGACTTCATCATCCAAATGGAAAGCATTCGTCGGCACAAAAACACAATATCACAAACAAAATATGGACGACCGTTTTCCTGCATTGCATCAGGCACTGTGTTTATCTGTCATCGTTATGACTTTGTTTGTCATTTTCATTCAACCCCTGAACCCGACCTCTTTGACCTGCACCTTTGAACTGTTCAACCGTGGCCTAGACTCATGGTCTGCACCCCCACCCCGCCTGGGAGCCCCCTTCAGTGGTGGATCTACAGCCTCAGTCATAGATCTACAGCCTCAGTCCTGGATCTACAGCCTCAGTCCTGGATCTACAGCCTCAGTCCTGGATCTACAGTCTCAGTCCTACATCTACAGCCTCACTCCTGGATCTACAGCCCCCGTCCTAGATCTAGAGCCTCAGTCCTGGATCTACAGTCTCAGTCCTAGATCTAGAGGCTCAGTCCTGGATCTACAGCCTCAGTCCTAGATCTACAGCCTCAGTCCTGGGTCTACAGCCTCAGTCCTGGGTCTACAGCCTCAGGACAGTGATCTATTCGCTCCCTTTGGACCAATGACTCCAAAATGTTTTCCTTAGAGTCCTTAGAGACGACTGCTTTTGTGATTTAGGGCGATACACAAATACATTGAATTGAATTACTTTGAGACTCCTGTGTCTCCTGGGTCCCTCCACAGACCTCCCACCAGATCCACGGCCTGTTTAAGTAATGTTTATTTATATAGTTTTTGTGGCGCCCTCCTTCTGATCACGCTCTGTTTGAGCAGGAGCCGCGGGGACCACTGGTGATGCAGATAGTGACAGAGGCGTCAGAGGAGACAGTGTTTGTGTTTGGGCTTTTTCTTGTGTTTCTCGTGTGATCTCGGTGCCATCAAACGGGTGAAGGGGTGGTGTCCCCGGGGCAGGAGGGTTGAGACAAAAGTGTCAAATCTTACATCAGAAAACTGCTACAGAGAGTGGTTTGGGAAGTTTGAATAGAACGCAATGTTTGAGGCAACATGAGAGACCAGAGAGAAACCAGAGAGAGAGAGACCAGAGAGAACCCAGAGAGAGATCAGAGAGAGACCAGAGAGAGACCAGAGAGAGAAACCAGAGAGAGACCAGAGTAAGAACAGAAAGAGAGACCAGTGAGAGATCAGTAGAGCCCAGAGAGAGATCAGAGAGAGAGAGACCAGAGAGCGACCAGAGAGAGACCAGAGAAAGAACAGAAAGAGAGACAAGTGAGAGACTAGAGAGTGGCCAGTGAGAGGCACCAGGGGGAGACCAGAGAGACCAGGCTTGAAACAGTTCTCTTCAATTTAGCATGTGGTAATGTAGGTAAGACTCAGCTAAGACTTAAAACTACAACATTAGGATTGTAAGTGACGCTGCATATGAAGCTCTCTGCTGGAGAAGTATGATAACAGCACTATCCTCTCCTCTTCTACTTTATCTTTCACCATTATGATTTCAGTTGTAGCCTGTTCATTGCTATTCATCCACTGTCAGTTTCATGGCGTGATGATGGGACCCCTGTACCCGGCCTCCTCTATCCACACCTGTGGATCTTCACCGGCCAGGACTTGTGGGCTGTACCCCCTCCCCGTCTAGGGGCTGCCTTAGTCTTGCATCATGTAGCCTCAGTCGTGGATCTACAGCCCGTCCGTCTATGGGAGTGGCTCCCTCTCTCAATGTGGGCCTCCCCAAGGTTTCTAACTTGTTCTCACTGGGTTTTTAGAGTTGATACTTGCTGATGCAAGAGGGTCTAAGGACAGTGAAGATCCAGGAAACTTGACATTCAACGACATTTCTGGACATTGGTCATCTGCCGGCTCTATGGTCTATTTGTCAGCTCTGGTCAGTGTTTTTTATCATTGCATTTCCTGTGTTTGAACTGTTGATTCTCTGATCAAACAGTAAAGTCCTCTGAGATAACTACTGTTGTGATGTAGGGCTATACAACAATACATTGAATTGAATTTGAGTTTTTCTAATCTGCCACAGAATCCTCCAGCTTCATATGTCAAAGCGACATTGATTCTTACCTTGCCGATGTACTGATAGTCGCTGCCCGTGTATTCCTCCTGCAGAAAGAACTGGTTCCACATCCAGCCTCTCTTCACCCTCCGAAGCCCCGCCCCCTCTCCCATGTCTCCCCCTTCAGCCTCCACACTGCGCCCGTCCAACAGCAGTGCGGCCGCACACAGCCACAGCGCGGCCGCCCAGAGCAGCAGAGAGCGCACCAAAGTCCTCATGACGGAAAACCAACAGTTCCAGAGGTGGAGCGCACGACACGGCTCTAGCTCCGCTGAAACGTCATTCCCGGCTGGGGCAAGGGTCCACACATCATCCCCGAGATCCGCTGGAAGACATAAGCAAAGGACACAAACATGGTCAAAACTCAAGATTTGTTACTCATAGTAATCGTAATCTTTAGTAACCTTTATTTGTGTAGCGCATTTTACAGGCCAAGGTCACCCAAAGCACTTTATACTGTTCAGAATTCAGATATTTTTTCCATTCACTCGACACCTGGTGAGAACAGAAACACTTCCAACCAACACCATTCATTCACTCACTTCATACCTATTGTACACGCTTTTAGTGATAGGGGAAACCGGAGTACCTGGAGGAAACCTACGGAAATGCAGGGAGAAAATCCAAACCACAGAAAGGCCTGCAGGTGGAATCAAAACCCAGTACCTTCTTGCTTTGAAACACAAGTTCTAACCACTTTCCCACCCTTCCCCACGACAACAAAAGTGTGCAGCAAGAACAGTGTGTGCAATAGTGTGTTGTGCAATCATGGTGAAATTCATGTGGAATTTCACAGGTGCCACAGTGAGGCGGCTGCGGCTGTAAAGTGCCAAACTGCCATTGTGTCCTTAGGCAAGACACTTCATCCCCATTGCCTTGAATGTGTCTGGTGTGTGTGAATGTTTGGTGGTGGTCAGAGGGGCCAATGGCACATATTGGTTGCCTCGCTTCTGTCAGTGTGTCCCAGGGCAGTCTGCAGAAAGTAACTGTTGCCTATAATGACTCGATGAGGATGCTGCTGAAGATCCCCAGACACAGTAGTGCGAGTCAGATGTTTGCTGAGTGCAGGGTGCGCTCCTTTCCTGCTGCCCTACGTCACTGCTACTATCGGTTCATGTGTAGAGTGGTGAGGGTGCCTAATGCTATTGTACTGTCCCTGGTTTGTCCTTACATTAGCTCAGTCAGGTTCACTTCTTTGCTTTGGAGTCACTGGCGTGCTTCTTTGTATGTGTGACTTGGTCTAAATATGTGAATATGTGATTACTATGTGTGTTTTAACTCTGTTCTTTTTTAAAACTTTTCTATGGATCCTGTGCTTGCATGTGAGTCCTTAATAAAGTATAAATAAAAAAATAAAATAATAAATAGTAGTTTATTACCACCGTGTATGGAGTGAAATAATAATAACATGAGAAGTGTCTTTGAGTGTCCAAAAAAAAACGCTATATGAAACAGATGCATTTCATTATTATTATTCTCTGCATAATTAATTGTTTGAAATTGTTGTGTAAGCTCGCTGTGTGAGCGGGCTGTTGTCTAATAATGTGTTTTCCTCTAGTTTGTTGTATATTTAATCTGCTGTTCTTGTACAAAGTCCCTAGTGGCCCCAGCCCTCAGAATGAAGGCCTCTGATTGGTCAGAACCTTAAATGGCTCATATCTGGATTTTCGAGCACAATATCACAAAATGAACAGCAGGTTCACAGAGAGCACTAAGCAAAAGATGTTTAAGCCCAAAATGGTGAGTGTGACATTTTATTTAGAATATTATCAAACACAAAGGGAGCATTGACGACTATGTAAGTAACTTCTGACCATTTTTAAACACATTCACTCTCATTTGATGATCCTCAGTGGAAACTCGATGGTGAAGTTTGGTGCGAGCAGTCGTCCTCTGAGGTAGAGCTGTCTCTTTTTCTCGCACAGGTCTTTGCCATTAGCATATTAGCATATTAATCCTTCTGCAGCTGTTCCAAGTCGAGTCTTTCATGTGTTGTGTGCATAAACTGTTACATAAACCGTGAGTGAGTCCTCTGTGTGTAAATACTCCTTCGGACGCTCAGACAGGAAATATGTGCAGGAGGAAGAGGAGGAGAGGAGGAGAGGAGGAGGGTGAAGAGGGGAAAGAGGAGATGTCTTTAAATCATTCTGGAAATTAAACCGTTTCTTCAACTGGGATGATGAGGTTATTTACTGTGTTGTTCTGGACAATTATAGATATGATCTACTGTATGGGCTCTCCTCATATCTCTCCTCCTCTCTCTCCTCTCCACTTTTTTCTCTCCTCTCCACTCTTCTCTCTTCTCTCTCCTCACTTTTCCACTCTTCTCTCTTCCTCTCCACTCCACTCTTTTCTCTTCCTCTCCTCTCTCTCGCTTCTCTCTCTTCTCCACTCCCCACTCTCCTCTCTCCTCCACTCTTCTTGCACATATAATTTTTGCCACAGCATTTAGAGCCTACGGTGCACTTTGACCTCCAGCCGAGCTTCATCACAGACATGTTGTTGTTGTGACCAGAAACAGTTACTTTAACCTTGGCTCTAATTATTCAATTGTTTATTTCATTATTAACAGAAGAAGTCAACACGTCCCCAACCTCACGTCTGATCTATGAGGTCAGAGTTAAAGCCACTCTCGGCTTCACAAACAGCTTTTGACTGCACTGACTGCAGGAGAACATGGACCACTGGATTTGCTCCTTCACTGTATCCAACAGATCAGTGACTGGATGCAAAATAATTTCCTCCAGCTAAATGCAGACAAAACCGAAATCATTGTCTTTGGTCCCCAGAAACAAAGAGAGGGCGTCATTTGTCAACTTCAGTCTCTCTCCCTACTTCCTTCAGACAAGGTCAGAAATTTGGGGGTAATACTGGACTCAGACCTAAATTTCAATAGCCACATAAAATCAATAACATCAACAGCTTTTTACCATCTGAAGAACATTGCCAAAGTTAGAAATATAGTGTCCAGGGCAGACTTGGAGATTCTTGTCCATGCATTTGTCTCCAGCAGGCTAGACTACTGCAATGGCCTGCTTACAGGTCTGTCCAAACAGACCTGTAAGCAGCTGCAGTACATCCAAAATGCAGCAGCTAGAGTCCTGACAGGAACCAGGAAGTATGACCATATTAGTCCGGTCCTCAGGTCTCTGCACTGGCTTCCTGTGGCTCAAAGAATAGATTTTAAAACGGCTCTGCTTGTGTACAAGTCTCTCCATGGCCTTGCACCAGAATACATTAGTGACATGTTGGTGTCATATGAACCGGCCCGGACTCTGAGGAGCACAGGGACTGGCCTCCTGCTGGTGCCCAGAGTGAGAACCAAACATGGGGAGGCTGCGTTTCAGATCCATGCAGCTAAGATCTGGAACAATCTCCCTGAAAATGTGAGGGAGGCGTCTACTCTGTCAATGTTCAAATCCAGGTTAAAGACTGTTCTGTTTGCCTGTGCATATAACTGAAGGATTTTATCTCCATTTTTAATGCACTGCTGTCATTTATTTATTTTTTTAAATTTCTTGTGTAATTTTGAAAGTTTTAATGGTTTTATTCTTTTGTGTGATTTTAATGTTTTAATTGTGTTTTAATCTTTTGTGTGATTTTAATGTTTTAATTGTGATTCTGGTGTTTGTTTTATGTGATGATTTGTGATGTGGACTGTGAAGCGCTTTGTGTTGCCCTGTGTATGAAAGGCGCTCTACAAATAAACTTTGATTGATTGATTGATTGAGCTTTTGGCCCTGGATAAGCGTTTGCTTTGAAAATCCATTGGAGCATTGACTTTGTGGAGAGCGGAGGGACAGTAACGAGAAGATCAAAGGAACAGAAGAGAGAGTAGAAGCTGAGCGCTGTTTTTGTGCTTTTAAAACGGCAGAAGGTCGATAAACCCAGCTGCACCGGTCTTAAACGACTCATACGGCAATTAGGGGAATGGTCATCAATAGGGAGAGAGAGAGAGAGAGACAGAGGAAGAGAGACCATAGATAGAGAAGATGACGAGAGAGAGAGAGAGGTATAAGAGAGTGGAGACAGGAGAGAGAAGAGAGAGAGAGCGGTACGAGAGTTGAGAGAGACGAGAGAGAGAGACCAGAGAGAGGAGAAAAGAGAGGAGCGAGAGAGTGGAGAGAGCAGAGAGAGGGCGGGAGACCAGAGAGAGAGAGAGAGAGAAAGAGAGAGAGAGAGAGACCTCCGTCTGTCAACCGAAAGACAAAGAGAGACCTCTGTCCAGTGAAGACAGACACAAAGAAGGGAGAGAAGAAGTAGATTAGAGTAGAGTAGAGCAGAGCAGAGTAGGGCTGGTGCAAATGGGGCTCATGGTTCTGACAAACAAGTCAGAATCTGGGCCAAACTAACGATACATATCCCATTGTTTCCATCAGTGAGCAGCCACACCCGCTCTTCCATATTAATGTATCAGAACATCAGAAGTAAATGTGGGTCAGTGGTGTGGACGTCTTTCAGCGGCGAGAGACAAGTCCTCCTCACATTAACTTAAAAGTGCACACTTTGTGGAACGCTCGGTCCAGTGATCTGGCAACCATCTGCTGCGAGGATTAAGGTTCAAATCCGACATCACAGGAAAGAGGAGAGGGGGCGGGGTTCTGAGAAGGAGGGGCGTGCGGCGTGTAGGGGACCAAGATGTGATTTAATATCATTTGAATCAACTTGTTTCCATAAAAAGACCAGAAGAACTGTCAGACTGTACAATGAGAACAGCTGAGCCTGCACGTATCGACTGTATATAGTAAATACTGCAATTTCAGAATGTCCACTGAATGTCACTTTATTTACTTATTTATCCTGCCAGATATAACTTTACACTGTATAGATGCATATTTAGATTAGTTGATTAGCTTTTACAGCTAGCTGAAAAACAGGGAGACACAGGGACTAAATACACACAGGGACATAGGGTCTAAAACAAGTCGGGGACCCACGAGACACAGGTGAAAACACATCAGGGAGGAGCAAAGAATCAACACACTGACTAGAGGTATAACTAAACAAAACACCATGACAATAATATCCTCTAAACCAGTCAAACTCAGGTTTGTGGGCCAGATCCGGCCTGCAAAACAATTCTAAGTGGCCCCTAAAATGATTTTCAATAAAAGAAAATAATAGTGAAACTTGTCACATAAAAGTCATGTCAAAAGACCTTCATAATGTAAAAAAAAAATATAAAAAAGGAAACCCCTTCTATTCTTTCGACCTGCGACCAAAAATAGTTTGACACCACTGCTCTAAACATTGCTGAAGAAGAGCAGTTCTACCAGAGCCCACCACCCCCAGTGTTTCTCTGATCTGTGAACTCTCTGTGAGCGCGTGGGTGTCCTGGTTCTCTCCGCCGGCGCTCCACAGGGGACGGGCCTCGGACTGGAACTGTGTCGCCTCCACTCGTGCGGCCGGAGGAGCCCACTTCTGGCTGTTTACGGAGCGCGTCAAAGTGGGTTAGAGGGGGAGCGAGAGGGAGAGTGCCGAGGGGGAGCTCACAGTTAAGCAGCCCATTTCTGCATCGCGTTCACAAAAATAAAAGCCATTTCAAAAGCGGGTTTGCATTTACTGATAAGTCACTTGGGCAACAGATCCAGCTGATATTTGTACTTCTTAGCCAATAAACTCCCGGAATTTAATCTCTAAGATCTATTTTGGAAATAACTCAAGAAGCAATTTGTCAAGAACGGTAAAAGTTGGGCATTTCTGTGGGGTAAAACACTGGGGGATATGAGGACGGAAACGTCTCACGCAACAATACACCATTCTCGTTTTGAATGTTGTGCGTTATGAACAACAAATTAGAACACATGAGCCCTGTTTCCACCAGCCCAGCCCGGCTCTACTCGACTCTATTCTTCTCTGGTACTGTATCCCAGCAAGCTACCCTCAACAAACCAGTATCAGTAAAAGGTCCTTGGTAACCATTGCTTCCAGCAGCACTCTAAAACTTTAGTACCAAGAGGGACTATAGAAGGACCTGGTACTGGTTAAACAGTAGAGTCAAGTCAAGACGAGTCCATTTGAGTGAAGAAGAGCACACCTTTCCAGGTCCAGTCAAGCACTAGCACCGTGAGAACCAGTGCTTTTACTGCCATAGAAAAGGCATGGAGCAGTCAAAATGACAGCGCTGGGAGTTAAAACATAAAAGATAGTTTCATAAAAAATAGGTACATATAAATAAGTTATGAAGACCACAACCGTACATGCACAGAGCAAATGCACATTCAAAACTAAACACTGTCACTGCTCTGGGAGGTCTTGTGTTATATATTTGCAGTTTGAAAGTCAGGCACCCCAGCTTTAAGAATGGCCTCACATCACAACAGCAGATCAAAGTGAATGTGACAAAGTCCAAGTGAAAACAGATATATTCTTTAACCACTGAACCCTCTCACTGTGATTCATCTCACCCCAAACACAAACGTGTTATTCTCGCGCTGTTGCTGCATGCTTAAGAGCGCATGTCATATTTATTGGATTAGTGCGGCCTCTGCTTGTTCGTATAGTGAGTGCGGGCTAATACGGGCCCCGGGGACACTCCCAGGAGCCTTCCCAATGCTGTCACTGCTGTATACGAGAAGTAATTGCACATCGAGGAGATCTGCGGCTCAAATGTAGCAAAAAATGGGTATTATACAAAAGAAGAAGAGCAGAGACTGGACTTTCAGTCAGGGCTCTATCTGGTCTCTCTCAAATCTCTCTTCGATCTCTCCGGTCTCTCACTCTGATCTCTCTCTGGTCTCTCTCTCTGGCCTTCTTCTGGTCCCTCTCTATGCTCTTTCTGGTCACTCTCTCGAGTTTCTCTCTCTGGTCTTTCTCTGGTCTCTCAAGCTGGTCTCTCTTTGGTCTTTCTCTCAAGACACACAGGAAGCACACAAAATATACAATATAAGTAGCGGCTTTGATTTTTAGCTTTCTGTAAAAGTTCAGTTGTTTGGATCTGTCCAGCCTCGAGTTTGAGCTGAGTGAAAGGCATTTAGAATGACCCTATGTTCCCCCATATATACACAAACACGCACACACAAACACACACATACACGCACGTACACACACACACACACACTTCTCCATAATGCTGCTCCATCCAGTCGTTGTTTTCAAAGGCTTTCACCCCAGGCCCCAGACTCGGGCGGGACCCCACTGACTGCAGGCCCTGGACTCCCGAATCAAAGGGAATTTTAGAGCGTGCACAAAGAAAACAACACAAAAACTGAGCAGGGAAGTCAGGTCAGAAGGAAGAACTCTCTCTGATTTGTAAAACAGCAGAGTGAGCCAGATCCTTCGCTTGGATTTGATCATATTGAACATGACTCATTTACACCTGTGCGCTCTGATCAAGGTGTGAAAATACGGATACTACTGAGACATGGCAGGTAGAAGCATTTAAGAGTTCAGGGAAATGACTATTAAAAAGAAATGTCATTTGTTCATACAGCAAATAAATGTTAAACTACTGATTCTGAAGATTGTGTTGAAGCGCACAGGGAACTGATTTAGAGTTGGAAGATTCTGATCCTCATATAGACTTAAACATGTGAGAAAAGGTGTTAGGACTCAGACCATTCTGCAAAGTACAGTGGTCCCTCGCTATAACGCCCCCTTCTTGGCATTGATCTTGGTTTTTGTGTGCTTTTTTACAGTGTGCTTCTCATACGGCGCGTGTTAACTCTAACGACATTGTACACAACGTCATATAACTGCTAATATAACATGACAATGACCTTTGTTTAAAGTTAGAACTTAAGTGCATCACGATTAGTCCAGAGGACTCGCTCTTTCTCTCTCTGGACTCTCTCTTCAGCAGTCGTGAGTTCAGGTGGTTAGAAAAGTGTACAGTGTGTGGAGAGGGGTTTACAGCCTTAAAACAAGGATATTGTTGGGGGGGATACATCACCCCCACAATAAACCAGGGAAAATCTTTTGTCAAATATAACCACACAACATTCAGTTTGAGTGTTTGATCGCCACGCTCTCTCAGTTTCCGGAGTGCTTCTAAAAGAACCAGGACTTTGTTCAGTTTTGTTTTTCTTCACAAGGTAAAACAAAACAATGAAACACATGCAGCGAGAGACAAGAGTGAGTCGCCTTTATCCGTCCAAATCCATACATTTATAAAACCCGCTTCTCCCTGTGCTCTTAAATATATCACTTCCTTCTCTCTCATAAGGATCCAATTGACAAGAGATCCAATTAGCAGCGTCTTTTTCTGTCTTATTAGTTATGCATCGGTTTTATACTTGTATACTTATGTACTGTACATGTTGGACACTCATAAGATGCTTCACAACTCCAAACAAAGTGGTGATAAACTGCTATTGTAGCCACAGCTGTCCTGGGGCACACTGACAGAGGCGAGGCAACCGGTCTGTATCATCGGCTCCTCCCACCACCACCAACCATTCCCACACACACCAGACTCGTTCTAATGTGGGTGAAGTGTCTTGCCCAAGGATATATCCACAGTTTGGCACGTTACAGCCGCAACCGCCCCACTGTGGTACCTGGTGTTCCCAGAGGTCTCCCATCACATTTCTAACCAGACCCTGCCCTGATTAGCTTCGGAGGTCTGACGGGATCTGAGTCGGTACAGTCTCCTCACTGTCTGTGCCCACGTGCCCATGAGCCTGGCGCTTACTGGGACGTTGCTGATTCAGACTAATGCGCCTCAGGTCACAGCCTCACGTCGTATACTGATATTTAAAATGAGAATGAAGAGGAGCGCGTGGATCACTTAGTGCTCAGGGAGGATTAACATTCCACACATCAGACTGACTCACGCAGACGTAACACACTCCAGAATCAGGAAAAAACAACACTTGTCTCTTTAATTAATGCGTAAAAGTATTAACAACGCTTTTATTACATACTGAAAAAAGGGTTGTATAGGTCAGAACTCTCTCTGTGTTGCCTTCTGGTTTCACTGGTATCTATCTGGTCTCCCTCTAGTCTCTTTCCGGTCCCCCTCTGTGGTCTCTCTCTGGTTACTCACTCTGGGGTCTCTCTCTGCAGTCTCTCTCTCCCTGGTCTATCTATGGCACATGTGTCAAAGTCAATTTTACATGGCCCGTTGCCTGCCATTGACGCACTATTACGTTAATTGTGTTTTCCGCTATTTTCATGTTCCCAGATGTCTATTATATCTAATATGTATGGGGATAAGCTTGAGAGAATATTGAATCGAGCCAGCAGGTGGCAGCAGCGCTCTCTGAATGGTTTGAAAACAGCTAGATGCACTTGTTGTGCCTCTTTTTTCTCAACTTTTTGGTGATTTCAGTAAAACTTCCCTCTACTCAACTGGGGATTACAAGCTAGAAACAAAATTCTTTTTGCTGATGAAAGTAGACAGTCTATTCTTTCAGAATCTGGTTTCGGATTTCAGATAGTCATAGTACACAATATTCTCTGGTTCTTGGAAAATCTATAAAAATCATCAGAAACTGCTGGCAATATGGGAGTACCTGTTCTGAAATAGGCTGGCAGGCAATGAGTTAATAAACATTGAACCAGTCCGGCCCTCGGCTCCAGCAAATTTGTTTTTTTGGCCCTCTGATGTATTTGACTTTGACATGCCTGATCTATGGTTTCTCTCTCTGTGGTATCTCACTCTGGTCTCTCTCTGGCCTCTCTCTGTGGTCTCTCTGTGGTTTCTCACTCTCTCTCTGGCCTCTCTCTGTGGTCTCTCTGTGGTTTCTCACTCTCTCTCTGGCCTCTCTCTGTGGTCTCTCTCTGGTTTCTCACTCTCTCTGTGGTCTCTCTGGCCTCTCTCTGTGGCCTCTCTCTGGTTTCTCACTCTCTCTCTGGTCTCTTGCTCTCTCTGTAAACGGTGGTTAAACGCTCTTTGAAGTCCATTTATTCGTTTTCCTGCTGCTGATTCCTAATTAACCCCACATGGATAACTTTCAAATATGCAAAGTAGCAGCTTGATGAAGTGTCTCTAAGTAGATCATAAAATAAAGTGTAATTGAACTAATTTAACTTTCAGAATACACAAGGGTTTAGGAACGTCTCCAAACGCTGGAGGATGCATCACACATGTTCTGTCCTTCAGACCTGCCGCAGTCCTTCATTCTTAAATAATAATAATAAATACCACAACTATTGCTAACTCGATACCCCATACCACATTTCAATCCTGTACTGCATCCTGTTTTTGCAGATACTAATAAATTACTTAAATTCAATTAAATTTATTCTTGAATAGCCCTAAATCACAACAATAGTTATCTCTGAGGACAACCGCTGAATTCACCGACACAAATCAGAGAATCAAAGAGTTCAAACACAATGAATAAAACAGAAAACACATTGGCATTAGTCCATAAGGGGCGGATGACCAATGTCCATAAATGGTGTTGAATGTTGAATGTCCTTTTATCGCCACCACTGTCCAACTTGGTTCTGAGATCTGATGGGACCAGACTTTAAAATGATTATTGTTTCAACAAAACATAGTCAGAAGGGACAAACTAAGTGTGACCGAGCTCTGAGGAGTCTGCTTGAGGCCAGACAGACACAGTGGGAGCGGGTCCCGTCCCAAAAAGGTCCGTCATACTTGCAATACAACTCCTTGCCATTGGGGGTGTAACCAGAAAGATAAGATAAGATAAACCTTTAGTTTAACCAAGCCCCGGCGATCCAAGATGGCGCCCTATTCAAATGAATGGTAGTGTTCAGCGCTTTGTGACAGCATGGGGACTGAAAGATTAGCGGATGTCGCCTGAAACTCGCAAAGATCTATGGGAAACTCGCCTGTATTTGGGCATCGTCTGGTCCTCCCGGTTCTGCGCAGTGGATGATCTCCCATAATGCGTTGCGCCAAACACGCGTGTGTGGGTCTCACACCGGGTCTCACGCACGTGCACAGAGGGGCTCGGCCGCGCTCTGACCAATCAGAGCAGTTCATCAGAGCGGGAGTTAGAGCGAGAGCCAGAGGAGCAGAGTTTGTGGCACTAAAGTATGGATTTAAACAAAACCGAAGGATTTAAGAAGAAAAAAAGTTCAGGATGACAAGGGACACTAAAATCCCCACAAAATCCGACCTTTATGAAAGCTGTAGGTTCTCTGTCAGCTGAGGTTGAGCTGTTTTAATATGCATTGAGTTCTATGGGGAAAATTTCTGGGTAGCCCACGTGAATTTAGTCTGGTTCAGTCTGCAGTACCGCGAGAATCCCCTGAGCACGTGAGTTATTCAGCTACAAGCTAGTAATACCCTATCCAGTTATTATAATACATCCATGAGTTTAACCTATATTAGTCTCACAGTGGAGAAATTTCAGTGTCATAGTTGCACATTACAGCAGAGAAAGGAAATAAGAGCACTCAGATTGCACACATCAAAGTCTATTATTTAAGATAATAGACAATAAATTTAAGGTAAAATAAAATAAAATAAAATAAGAAAATCTGGGCTATAATTGCACTTGGTTCGGAGTATTTACAGATGTCTATATTATACATTAGCAGCGGAGAATATGAGAATATGAGCAGAATAAAGATCAGAAATAATATCAACAGGTAAAGTGACTTGAATGGGAGAATTATCAGATGGATATGAATAATACAGTAAGATATCAACAGGTAAAGTGACTTGAATGGGAGAATTATCAGATGGATATGAATAATACAGTAAGATATCAACAGGTAAAGTGACGGTGAAAGGCAGAATTATCAGATATGAAAAGACAATTATCCAAGTTATTATTATTTCCATTATTATTTAGGTAAGAAAGACAATTATCCAATGTGTTTATATGCCGCCTTCATTCCTATCAAAAACGGCTTTACAAAATGGTTCAAAGTTGGCTCTTGGCCCAACGCTACGTTCCAGATGTGTGTCAATTCTGAGGGGAGTATTTTCTTTTGGACCAGTCTAGTTTAGCCGCTGTGTACTTTTAAATACATCTCTTAAATGAGTGGTGCTCATGCCGGGTAACATGCCCAAATGCGTTTTCTCCAGTGGGGGCGGGTCCCGGCTCAAATGTGTGTCAATGCTGAGGGGGGTGAATTTTTTTGAACCAGTCTAGTTTACTCGCTGTGAAATTTTGAAGTCACTCGTTTAAATGAATGGGGCTCGTGCCGACTGACGCATGCGCAGATGCGGCCATTTTGAATCACTCCATGAAAGCCCAATGTTTGGCCCATTAGTATAGGAACGGCCGAGATAGGCCTGACTACGTCCGTTAATATATACAGTCTATGGTTTTCTCACATTTTGCCGCGGGAGAGGCTGCCCTCGGCCATTTTAAAAAAGCCCACAGAAGGCAAAAATGGTGTCACATTAGTTTCGACGGCAGAGATATAGGTGTGACTACGTTCGTTAATAATTACAGACTATGGTTTGACCACAGAATCTGTTCTATTTTTATTGTCCTTACATTCCACATTTGTCCCTCTGTCTCTCTGCACCAAACACTGATAAATGTCCATGACCTTCACCTGCCGATCTCCTCACAGTCCACACGAGCTCAGGCACCAAACAGCTGCTCCCAGAGGACCAATTATACAGAAGCAGGATCACCGCGGAGACAGGAGTGAGAGATGAGGAGGAGACAGGGAGAGGAGGGAGTGTGGAGGGAGACGAGGAGGAGACAGGGAGAGGAGGGAGTGTGGAGGGAGACGAGGAGGAGACAGGGAGAGGACTGAGTGTGGAGTGAGACGAGGAGGAGACAGGGAGAGGACTGAGTGTGGAGGGAGACGAGGAGGAGACAGGGAGAGGAGGGAGTGTGGAGTGAGAGATGAGGAGGAGACAGGGAGAGGACTGAGTGTGGAGGGAGACGAGGAGGAGACAGGGAGAGGAGGGAGTGTGGAGGGAGACGAGGAGGAGACAGGGAGAGGACTGAATGTTGAGGGAGACGAAGAGACAAGGAGAGGAATGAGTGTGGAGGGAGACAAGGGGGAGACAAGGAGAGGAGGGAGTGTGGAGGGAGACGAGGAGGAGACAGGGAGAGGAGGGAGTGTGGAGGGAGACGAGGAGGAGACAAGGAGAGGAGGGAGACGGGGAGAGGAAGAGACGGGGAGACAAAGAGAGGACTGAAAGAGACAAGAAAGAGACCAAAGAGAGACCAGAGAGAGAGACCAGAGAGACCAGAGAGAGAGAGAGAGGGAGACCAGAGAGAGACCAGAGAGAGAGAGAGAGAGAGAGAGAGACCAGAAAGCGAGACCAAGGAGAGGTTAGAAAGAGACCAGAGAAAGACCAAAGAGAGAACTGGGTGTGGAGGAAGACAAAGAGTGAGACGAGGAGGAGAAAAGGAGAAGACGGAGCTAAGGCGAGAGGAACTGAGGAGACAGAGGGAGGATAGGAGACAGGGAAAGGACTGAGAGAGACTAGAATGAGACCAAAGAGAGACCAGAGGGAGAGACAAGAGAGAGACCAAAAAGAGAGACCAGAGAGAGATAAGAAAGAGACCAGAGAGAGACCAAAGAGAGACTAGAAAAGATTAGGTCGCAAGGCGGGTTGAAAGGCGAGTCTAGACAACACACCAGCCCGTGTTGGTCAGTGGAAGGAGGAGCAACTTCTGGATTTGTGGTCAAAGAAGTCGTGTTTTTGCTTCGGGGGAAACAGACATATAGGTTTTTGATGAGGGAGCAATATTGAAACGTGGTTAAAAGCCTTTTCCCTGGAACACTCCCATTGTGTTTTGAATAGAGGGAGACTGAAGACAGCAGACATATAGAGAGCAGAGGTTTGAATCTAGCCATTTGGGAATCGGACAGAATCCAGAGCTCACTGCCCCCGTTGTCAAACCCACTGTCCAGGACCCACCAGCACCATATGAATAAACCATCCACCTCTCACACTGTAGCAGCAGAAACTTTTATTATTTGATTTTTTACTCAGGCATATGACACTAGCAATGAATCAGTCACTTTAATATATGAGGAAAGGAGCAGCGGGTGGAAATGGAAGAGGAGCGAGACGCAGCCATCTTCTGCCTCTCTGTGTGTGTGTGTGTGTGTGTGTGTGTGTGTGTGCGTGTGTGTGAGTGGGTGTGTGTTTATGTGTGTGTATGCGTGCGTGTGTGTGTATGAGTAAGAGTGTGTGTGTGTGAGGGCGGATGTATGCGTGTGTGTGTGTGTGTGTCATATAGTGATCAGATTCAGCTGTCATATCTCTCTGTATCTCCGGTCGTCTATGGTCTCTTTCTGGTCTCTCTCGTGTCTCTCTCTCTCTCTCTGGTCTCTCTCTGGTCTCTCTCTGGTCTCTCTCTATGGTCTCCCTTAATGAGAAAATCATGAGACTATAGTAATATGTAGTAGGACCAGAGAGAATCGAGAGAGACTAGAGAGAGACCAGAAAGAGAGCAGAGAGAGACTGAAGTGGAAGCGAGTGAGGCCAGGTTCTGTGTTGATATCACTAGAAAACTAGAAGGTCAGACAAAATCACACGGAGGCCAGGATTCCCCGGGGGCCGGACTTTGGACATGCTTGCTCTGAAGAAAGTGTGAGCTTGGAAAAATAAAAACATCGGTAACATGCCCAAACTCTGAGAGAAGTCCATTTGTTGGGACTTCTTTCAGATATAAAAGTTTAAAAGTGGGTCAACCAGAGAAACGACTTGGTTGGTATCGTTGGTATAATATCTATCTGAAGTTTTAGAACCATCATTATATCCTTCCACATACCCAAGTCCACAGTATCAACCAGCCAACTTCAGCTCACCCAATAGTGGGATAGTGTAACTCGTACCACAAAATACACACAGTGCTCAAAGGGAAGGCCCTGTCCCCCTGGTGTAAGACCACAGAAAAGGCTCTGTCCCCCTGGTTTAAGACCACAGAAAAGGCTCTGTCCCCCTGGTGTAAGACCACAGAAAAGGCTCTGTCCCCCTGGTTTAAGACCACAGAGAAGGCCCTGTCCCCCTGGTGTAAGACCACAGAGAAGGCCCTGTCCCCCTGGTTTAAGACCACAGAAAAGGCCCTGTCCCCCTGGTTTAAGACCACAGAAAAGGCCCTGTCCCCCTGGTTTAAGACCACAGAAAAGGCCCTGTCCCCCTGGTTTAAGACCACAGAGTAGGCCCTGTGTCTCAAGGTTTTAAGTCTCGTCTTTTGCCCCACAAGCTGGAACTGGCCTTTGGACCTCAGCATACGAGGTGTGCTGTGGAGCGAGTCCATTCAAAGCTTTGACAACAAAAATTAAAACACAAATTAATACCCAAATAATTCTAGAACTTTCTGAGAGCCAGTGCAAAGATCTGGATCTACAGCCACAGTCCTGGATCTGTTCGTCTGTGGGAGCGGGTCCCTCTCCGAGACGAGTGCTGTTGTGATTTACGGCGGAACACAAATACATAGAATCTCTTATACATCTCTAATACAAACACCACATTTGCTCTTTAAAGTCCACATATCCTTTATCCGCCGGCTTCTCGCTTCTGCGTTCACCCGAGAGGAATGAGCACCACAGTGTCCACACGAATCCACCAACACCAGGGTGAAAAGACATTATAACATGTCCCCAAAACAGCCCAGATCCGGTCGCCCGCACTTCACACGTCTGTGGCGGATCAGTGCTGGTCGAGCGCTCCGGCCGCGGGCTGATCTGCCGCAGCCACAACACGAGTTCATTGATTTCTTAAAACGCAGCGCGACCTGAAAGGCCTCTCTTCACGCTGGCTGCCTTTCTGGGCTACGTCGAGCTCGTCTGCAGCCGCTAGCACCATTAGCCTGTGTTTGTCGCTAATCAAGCTAACGCAGAGACACCGGGCGATTAATGCAAGGAGAAAGCTGCGGCGCAATTAGTGCCGAGCGTCCAGCGGATGACACGGTTTAAGAGGCTTTTAATGATGTGGGGGTCGCACTCTCACATTGTACTGCATTAGATACAACAGACACACACACTAACGAACACACACACACACACACACATACACACACACAGTAAATAGATAATGTTAGTCTGCTAGTTCAATGAAGTTTGCAAAAGTAAACTCCTCTAGCTCAGTAACCATTTGTGTCACACTCTCCATTCTTCCCTCTCTGTGATGCTGGTGTTTATATTGGGATATTGTCTTTGTAAAACCAGATATGAACCTTAAAGTAGCAATATGTAAGATTTTCATGTCCAGTCATCATTAAATAGCGCTAAGCTGTCAAAATGGATTACCAAACCATGCTCTTTTCAAATACTTCTTTAACGGATAACAGTAGTTCAGTCGACATATTTGGATTTCAATATTAGTTTTACAGCCCGTAAATCTTGTTATCGTTATCATTTCGATGTCCCGCCCTCCACTGTTTTACCAACCAGAAAGTCTGAGATCCGGGTTGCCAGAATTCATCGCGTCGAGCTAATCTCATTGGTAATGTAACATGTGGCCGCAGAGTTAAAAAAAAAGGTCTCGTGATGATTCTCAAATCATTCATAATAATACAAGGAATATAACCAGGATTTCTATCTTTGTAAAAAAGGTGTTGGTTATAGATTTGTTGTTGACAAAACTCTTTATTCAGATACTGTATTATGGATCTATAATAATAACTGGATAGAGTATTACTAGCTTAAAGCTGTCCCAACCATGGGCACAGGGGGCGCCCGTGGTACTGCAGACTAAATTCATGCGGGCTACCCAGAAAAAAGTCCCATAGAACTCAATGTAAATTAAAATAGCTCGACCTCAGCTGACATAGAACCTACAGCTTTCATAAAAATAGGATTTTGTGTGGATTTTAGTGTCCCTTGTCATCCTGAACTTTTTTTCTTCTTAAATCCTTCAGTTTTCTTTAAATCCACACTTCAGTGCCACAAACTCTGCTCCTTTCCTTCCCGCTCTGACTCGGCTCTACTGCTGCTCTGATCAGAATCTCTGATTGGTCAGAGCGCGGCCGAGCCCCTCTGTGCACGTGCATGAGAGACACACACGCGTATTTGGTGCAACGCATCATGGGAGCTCGTCCACTGCACAGAACAGGGAGGACCAGACGATTCCCAAATACAGGCAAGTTCCTCTGTCAGCGCCCGTGAAGTCCCATGGGCTACTGACCACAAGCCATTCATTTGAATAGGGCGCCATCTTGGATCACGGGGGCTTGGTTCGAATCGGCTTCTTCCGCACAAAGCCTAACACTATGGTGATGTCACACTCGGTCAGTCGACTCCTGATATATACTCTATGACACACACACACACACACACACACACACACAGACAAAGACACACACACACACACGCAAGACACAGGCCCAGACACTCTCTTAACCCACACCTACGGGCAAATTGATCTTTATTTAACCAGGCCAGTCCCACTGAGTCTTGGCTCCAGAGAGAGGGGAGCTGTTGTCATGTTTTTAGTGGTAGGGGAAACTGGAGCACCCAGAGGAAACCTGTACAGACACAGGGAGAACATGGAGACTCAACTAATTAAGGCCCTGTCTGGAGGCAGAACCCAGGACCATCTTGGACTCAGTTCTACTCTACCTGGTTTTGTTTCCATGATGCGTTTTTGTATCTGGTACCCTATTCCTGCAACCTCCCCACAACAAACCAGTATCCAGGGAAACTCCTTGGTAACCATGGCTTCCAGCAGCACTTTGGGCAAGCTGCACCATGGTTAATGCCAGATCCTGTCAAAGTTAAGCAGGGGAGACCTGGTTAGTACTAAGTGATGGGAGACCTCTGGGAACACCAGGTGCCACAATAAGGTAACTGTGTCTGTAAAGTGGCAAACTGTGATTGTGTTCTTACGGAAGACACTTTAGAATGAGTCTGGTAATGAGTCTGGTATGTGCATTTATTGAGCTAGTGGGTTAGCAATATCCTTCTGTATACATCTGTCTATGCTTCTATAACATGCACAGCTCCTTTGATGTGTAAATGTTTCAGAGAACAAGGACCATAATTATAATGTGTGTGTTTTAACACTTTGCAGATGAGGCCTTTCTTTCACTTCCAAATGTTTTTCTGCCGCTTGTGCGTAAACACTTACAGCTATTAGCGATGAATGCTCTTTGTGTGGCCTAATTACAGCACGATGCATTCTAAAGACATCAACAATGTTTTCCATGGAATCATAATAACACACTACAAATGTGCATCTATTGAAGTCCTTCACCACTGCTTTGATGAGTGTGAGGGATGTGAGTGGGCCAGCGATGGCTTCAATCCATAGACTGTAGAGAGATGGACAATGCTAACATAGACTCCACACCAGGGGTGTCATTCATGCGGCCCAAGAGATTTGACACAGCACGCGGCTCATTTATGTAAAATGATAATAATAATAATAAAAAATAATAATAAAAAAATCAGCACCACGGTGCGCTGCGCTCAGCAGCAAGTCGAGTGCGTCTATAGTGGCTCCACCAGAGCGTGTTCTGTGACTGACTCGGTGAAAAATATGGCACTTTGAGCGGAGAATAGAGAAGACAGAAGATAAACATGTCTGGCCCTGAAGAAACAGCAGTCTGTTTGTTCCCAAAGCAAGAGGTTAGTGCTGCTACTGTAAAGGGAAGCTACCTGAGTGCTCACAACATAGCATTAGCCTCGCAGCCGCACAGTGAGGGAGAGTTTAAAACTCTCATAAAGGCTGCAGACATGGTCTGAGAAACCACACTCTGTCACCAACATTGATAAGAGACTAATGTTACTGATGTCGCATATTCATTTCTGGTGTTACTAAAACTATCAGAGGAGTTTTGAGCGTTTGTGCTCGTGCTGTTGCTGGTGCTGGTGCTGGTGCTGGTGCTGTTGTTGCTGGTGTGTTGAACAGTGTGGACTGGTCCTGCTCTCAGCCTGTTACCGATGGTAAAGCAGGTGTTGTGACAAAGCCGCAAATGGAGGTGATGATTTTTGGACATTTGACTGTATTTTACACAGAGACACTGCTGCAGTCGTTAAGAATAGATCACTTTATGGAAGTTGTTTGGTTCATTTCAACTGAATCATGGTCAGTTTGATGCTTTCTCTCTGACAATAACATAACCATGGACCTTACCACACTGAAGATGGTTAAGCGGAGGTGCTGTGTTAAATGCTTTTATCTATCTCCCTACTTTACCTTTGTGAGCAAGTTTTCTCTGTAATGAGCCTTAAAACAAAGCTAACATACAATATTAATATAAATATTGTGAAATGCCATTTACAATGTAATATTGTAAATACATTACATTATTTGCACTATAAAAAACTCACTGTTACATTTAAATTATTAACAGATTTATTGTTAAAACTGAGCGAGTATTAAAGGACAGTGTTTTAAAGGAAGTTTGGACTTTGTAATTGTTTGGGGTATTTTTGTAGAACATCTTCTGGTCCGGCCCAGTTGAGATCCAATTAGGTTGTATTTGGCCCCCGGACCAAAATGAGTTTGACACCCCTACTCTATACAGATGAATGCTAACATAGACTGTATACAGATTAACAATGCTATTACAAGGAATGTAATAATAACACAATAGAATCACTCTGTGGAAGTCAATTTCTTTGTATTAACACAATTCACCAGCCGCGGCCTCACTGTTTAATGTGCTTCTCATGCTCCACACCATATACCACTAGTAAACCATGACAGTTACCATGTGTGCACCAAGGTGAATAGTTCAGGAGACCTCTCTGGTCTCTCTCTGGTCTCTTTCTCTTCAGCAGTGGGTTCAGGTCTTTGCGTGTTTTAGGGGCTTAAAACATAGATCTTCTATTTTGCGAACGCACATGTTTTGTATTGATATTAATCACAGATAAATCTCACATTTCATTGATTAAAGCATTTCCTCTCATCCGTCTCGTGTGATCCTTCTGGTCCAGATGTGGCCGGAGGTGGGGGACGCATTAGGCTTTCTATGAACTGACCTAAATATGACACAGATATATAGCACTTTGGACAATGGGCCGAATGGGTATCAGGATCTGTTCAGAGGATTTATCTGCTGTTATCACTGAGCGGTAAGCCTGAACACGGCATTTAACTGCTGAGAGCTGCAAAACAAGAGCAGTCTAAAGACCCGGCTCTGCTCTGCTCTCTACGAGACTACTCATATCTGGTACCTTATCCTAGCAACCAACCCACAACAAACACGTATCCAGCTAAATTCCTGGGAAACCATGGCTTCCAGCAGCACTCTGACCAATCACTGCCACTTAGAACACTTAAGTACAAAGTCTGGTCTCTCTCTGTGGTCAATCCCTCTGGTCTCTCTCTGGTCTCTCCCTCTGGTCTCTCTCTGGTCTCTCCCTCTGGTCTCTCTCTGTCAATCCTCTGGTGGTCTCTCTCTGTGGTCAATCCCTCTGGTCTCTCTCTGGTCTCTCCTCTCTGGTCTCTCTCTGGTCTCTCTCTGGTCTCTCTCTGGTCTCTCTCTGGTCTCTCTCTGGTTTCTCTAAATGTTATAAAACACAAAATACACTAAACAAGTATAAAATGACAGATTCTTTCTGTGAGACTTTTCTTTCAGTCACAGATCTGGAGTTATTTTTTAGACACATAACTTGCTGTCAAGTCAAGCTGTCCCTTATAATCTCTCATTTTTAGTGTAGTTTTTCACCGGCGGCAAAGGAAAAGAACTGAGCACAACGGGGGGTCCCTGTAATCCCTGTCTTTTTAGATTGACCCCATGCTCACACACACACATGCACGCACACACACACACACACACACACACACTGGCCCGTCCGCCCCGGGGCAGGGTAATCCATTGACTGCAGCCGACCTGAGCCCTGCTAATCTGCTGGGGACATGGGGTGTGTTTGGTGTGGTCTGCGGGGACTTAGGGGCCCTGTGTCGGCTTGTTGGGGTTATGAGAAATATAATGAGAGCCAGTTATGACCGAGAGCCAAAGAGCAGGGCTCCATCGCGACTGGATGCAAAGTGACAATGGTAAATGTCAGAAGAGAGTTCATTTGTATTACAGGGAATAAAAACAACAGGTTTTGTTCTGATGTTAAAGGACAAGTATTGTGTAAAATGGTCTTCAGTCAGAAAACAGATCTTGAGTCAGCACCAACTCTAGTCTCATTCATTTCTCATGAAGGTGTCTAGAAGTGGTCTCCCTCCGGTCTCTCTCTGGTATTTCTTTCTGGTCTCTGTCTGGTCTGCCGCCTGTCTCTCTCTCTTGCCTCTCTCCTGTCTCTCTCTTGTCTCCCTCTTGTCTCTCTCTCCAGTCCCTCTCCTTTGTCTCTCTTTTGTCCATCTCAGATCTATATGGTCTTACTTGTTGTTTTGGCATCTCCCCTTCCTACAATCCTACAACATAAATCTATGGCGGTGATTTGAGAACAACATGGAGGTCTGCGTGTCTTGCCGTCAGCTGATCTGCGGCGATGACTTCGTCCGCGTGTCTTTAACAATAATTAGTGCGTGCGGCAGATGGTGTGGATTTGAGGCGTTACATAACCGCGCCCTGCCAACCCCCGAGTCCGGAGACCAGGCCGAGAGAGAGGCAAGCACTCCTGCTATCATCAGGAGCCAGCAGAACACCAGCAGGGGGCTATGGGAAGGGCCCTCAGGACGAGAGGCAAGGAGACTGAGGGCCCCGTGGCACCACTGTCACCCCCTCACCCATAGCGGGGGTCTCAGCGTGCACTTTGATCACCGCTTCTGCCCCGTCTTCAAAGTGGCTCAAAAGTAGTTTATTTATATCTGCATCTAATTAGAAAATAAGTGCTGGAGGGACCGTGACAACGCACTTCTCCTCTCGAAATCATATGAACCTTCAAACGACATAAAGTTGTGAACGAGGAGGATCTAAGGACAGTGATGATCCGCGACATTTCTGCACATGTGTTAACGTTTCTCCCTACAGACCAATCAAATCATTAAAAACAGGAAATGCAATAATGACACCCTATAGGATTTGATTCTGTGATTTTTGACATATCATAAAAACGTACAGGGTGATTTTGTTCGGAAAAGAAACAAAAACTTTATGAGAGTTTAACATTATACTGGTACAACTGAGAAAGAGCAGTCTGTATGTGTACTGAGACAATTGAGGTCTGAGTCTGTATGTATACTGAGACAGGAGCAGTCTATATGTATACTGAGACAAGAGAGGTCTGTATGTATACTGAGACAAGAGAGGTCTGTATGTATACTGAGACAAGAGAGGTCTGTATGTATACTGAGACAGGAGCAGTCTATATGTATACTGAGACAAGAGAGGTCTGTATGTATACTGAGACAAGAGAGGTCTGTATGTATACTGAGACAAGAGAGGTCTGTATGTATACTGGGACAAGAGAGGTCTGTATGTATACTGAGACAAGAGCAGTCTATATGTATACTGAGACAAGAGCAGTCTATATGTATACTGAGACAAGAGAGGTCTATATGTATACTGAGACAAGAGCAGTCTATATGTATACTGAGACACGAGCAGTCTATATGTATACTGAGACAAGAGAGGTCTATATGTATACTGAGACAAGAGAGGTCTATATGTATACTGAGACACGAGCAGTCTATATGTATACTGAGACAAGAGCAGTCTATATGTATACTGAGACACGAGCAGTCTATATGTATACTGAGACAAGAGCAGTCTATATGTATACTGAGACAAGAGAGGTCTATATGTATACTGAGACAAGAGAGGTCTGTATGTATACTGAGACAAGAGGGCTCTGAGTCTGAGCCAGTCTACTATACAGAGACTAGTCTACGGTATTTGAAGAATCTTAGCCTATCCCCCAACCCCTATTTCTCAGACTTAATGAGCATATTTACGCACTAAAGCGGACTACAAACATGGCTTCCTCTCCAACACAAAACCAACATTTACCTCCAGTCCATAAAACTCCACAGTAAATGCCAGCCTTTGTCTTCTTCTTGTCTGTTTTATTGCTCTCTGGTGTTGGCTTGCCGAGTTTATCCGAGTGTGCGAGAGTGCAAACAGCGGGGAGGCTGACTTTTACGGAGAGCTAGCTCGTTGTGGAGGGCCACGGAATGTTAGCATACCATTACGATGCTAATGAGGCGACACGGATGCTGTTAGTCAAAGAGCGGAGCTTCACCGCGAGTGGATGGAAAGTTATGGAGGTGTCAATAAGATGACGGTAAATGTGAGGAAAAAGTTGACTGACAGAAGGAGACAGAATAAAAACATGTGGTTTTGTTCTGTTGTTAAAGGACACGTACTGTGTAAAATGGTCTTAAATCAGTAATTTCAGAACTGGTCTGGGTATTTTCCCATAAAGGTGTCTAAAGCAGTGTTCCCCAACCTTTTTGAATCGTGGCACACCTTTGTCATTGCGAACAATCACATGGTACACCCCCAGATCAAACTGATACTAAAGCAAAGTCATTCTCATCCATGTGTATTATGTAGAAAATCAAACAAGCACAAAAAAGTCTTTCTAATCATCTCAAATAATTTTCTTTCCAAATGATTTTAACTAAGCAGGTGAATTTGGACCGTTTCCAAGGCACACTAATAAACATCTCAAGGCACACCAACAGGCCGCAGCACACTGGTTGAAAAACACTGGTCTAAAGGTGGCCTCTCTCTGGTCTCTCCTGTCCAGTTTATTCAGGTCTTTCTCTATTCTCTCTCTGGTCTGTCTCTGGTCTCTCTTTGGTCTCTCTCTGGTCTCTCACTGGTCTCTCACTGGTCTCTCGCTGGTCTTTCTCTGGTTTCTCTCTCTGGTCCTTCTTTGGCATCTCGCTCTCTCTTGGCATCTCGCTCTCTCTTGTCTCTCTCTGTATGGTCTCTCTCTGGTCTCTCGCTGGTCTTTCTCTTGTCTCTCTCTTGTCTCTCTCTGGTCGGTGAAACAACAGTACATTTCTTAACAAATCTTTTATTTCCCATAGAAATGTTCTGTGTATCTGGAGGCGTGAGAGTCCTGCTCTATAACACTTCCACTCTGACAAAGTCCAAACCTCTGCATCAAGTCTGAATCCAAAACTTGACTATGGATTTGGCTGCATTGTTCCGTGCTCTGCCTGTGTCCACACTGCTCATCGATCGGTCACAGCGGCTGCCCGTGGCCTCCCAGCATGCACTGGGGCAGAGGCTGGAGCTGGATGTAGGCCAGTCCAGTACAACGATCACCCCGCACCACCTTTTGTGCTTCAGTTAGAGTGAGACTGACAATACGGAAACTTTTGGTTGATTTAAGCTTGTTTTCTAAGCAACATTCTCCATTTTAAGTTCTGTAACACGGCGGTGATGTGTTCTAAATATAACCCACAATAAGGTGAATCGTCTCAATAGCAGCTGTGTGTGTTAAGGCTGTAAAACCCTCACATTTTATATACTTTAGTAACAACCTGAACTCACCACTGCTGAGGTGCGATCAGAGATATTAAACCTGTTGGTTGTAGGTCTGAGCTGCTGCAGCTGTCAAAAGCCTTGCATAGATTGTAAAATATAGCTGAAGAGGACACTGAGAGACAGGAGCAGGACTGAGGGCTATGGAAAGACCAGAGAGAGACTAGAGTGAGAGACCAGAGAGAGACCAGAGTGAGACACCAGAGAGAGACCAGAGTGAGACACCAGAGAGAGACCAGAGAGAAACAAGAGAGACCAGAGAGACCGAGCTGTACAGCCGATCAGTGCTGAGGAAGGCCACTCTCATCGCTGAGGAAGGCCACACCCACTGTATGGCTCCTTCTCTCTGCTGCTATCAGGAAGGAGATACAGAACCCCGCTGGCCCGAAAAAAACATCTACAAGAGATCGTTTGTCCCGTCTGCAGTCACTTCCCTAAACAACCGGTAGCACTGCATACATTATTAACTGTTTGATAAATGTATTTCAAATGTGTTTTATGAATGATTTTTAATTGTGCCGTGTTGAAAGAAAAATCTCTGCTCATTTTGAACAGACAATAAAGATTTATTCTATTCTATTCTATTCTAGAGAGCGAGAGACCAAAAAGACCATGAGAAACTAGAGAGAGAGACCAGAAAGACCATGAGAAACTAGAGAGAGAGACCAGAAAGACCATGAGAAACTAGAGAGAGACCAGAAAGACTATGATAAACTGGAAAGAGAGACCAGAAAGACCACGAGAAACTAGAGAGAGAGACCAGAAAGACCATGAGAAACTAGAGAGAGAGACCAGAAAGACCATGAGAAACTAGAGAGAGACCAGAAAGACCATGAGAAACTAGAGAGAGAGACCAGAAAGACTATGAGAAACTAGAAAGAGAGACCAGAAAGACCATGAGAAACTAGAGAGAGACCAGAAAGACCATGAGAAACTAGAGAGAGACCAGAAAGACCATGAGAAACTAGAGAGAGAGAGACCAGAAAAACCATGAGAAACTAGAGAGAGAGACCAGAAAGACTATGAAAAACTAGAAAGAGAGACCAGAAAAACCAGAGAGAAAGACCAGAGAGAGACCAGAAAGACCATGAGAAAACTAGAGAGAGAGACCAGAAAGACTATGAGACTAGAAAGAGAGACCAGAGAGACCATGAGAAACTAGAAGAGAGACCAGAAAGACCATGATAAACAAAAACTAGATAGAGAGACCAGAAAGACCATGAGAAACTAGAGAGAGAGACCAGAAAGACTATGAGAAACTAGAAAGAGAGACCAAAAAGACCATGAGAAACTAGAGAGAGACCAGAAAGACCATGAGAAACTAGAGAGAGAGACCAGAAAGACTATGAGAAACTAGAGAGAGAGACCAGAAAGACCATGATAAACTAGAAAGAGAGACCAAAAAGACCATGAGAAACTAGAGAGAGACCAGAAAGACCATGAGAAACTAGAGAGAGAGACCAGAAAGACTATGAGAAACTAGAAAGAGAGACCAGAAAGACCATGAGAAACTAGAAAGAGAGACCAGAAAAACCATGAGAAACTAGAGAGAGAGACCAGAAAAACCAGAGAGAAAGACCAGAGACAGACCAGAGTGAGACACCAAAGAGAGACCATACAGAGATCTGAGAGAAAGACCAGAGACAACTCCTCTGAGCCAATCACACAAGCCACAAATGTTTCTTCTGACTTTAAACAAAGGTAACTGTCATGTTTTACTAGTGGTTAAATGATATTGGAGTAAACAAGCGGCACACGAGAGGCACGAGTTGCTAAATTGAACTGAAGTGGAACAAAACCCATGTCAGTAGTTCCAAACAGTTGCTTCTATCACTAGTTTTCATGTATTTCTGAACAAGAGAAGCCCATTAGTTCTCAGGCGTCCTCTCGTAGTCCTGCTTTACGCCTGGTTTTGATGTGGTCCAGACCATGTTCAGACCTGGTTTAAACCTTTATACTGCTTCAAACCATCAAATAGTGACTCACAGAGCTCTTTCTTACACTCTGATTTGTTCAATGATATTTTACTTTCACAAGACTCTTTCAGCTGGGGAAAATAACATCTATTATTCTCTCTGGTCTCTCAGTCTGGTCTCTCTACACTCGCTCTCTGGTCTCTCTCTGGTCTCCCTCTAGTTTCTCTCTGGTTTCTCTCCGGTCATTCTGTGGTCTCTTACTGGTCTTTCTCTGGTCTCTCTCCTTTCTTGCTCTACTCTCTCTCTGGTCTCTCAGCCTGGTCTCTCTACACTAGCTCTCTGGTCTCTCTCTGGTCTCCCTCGGATTTCTCCCTGGTTTCTCTCCGGTCTTTCTGTGGTCTATTACTAGTCTTTCGCTGTTCTCTCTCTAATCTCTCTCTCTTT